AAAAAAGTATTGTAAAACGTATAAAAAAAATTTTATAACAATTGTGTAACGATCTACAAGATCGGGGCACTCGGACGTTCACCCCTGTTCAACCTTTCTCATCTTTTTTGTTCATTCATTTTCTTTTCGGAACTTCGTTCAATTTCTAATTTTATTTCCATCCGGCATTATAATATTATATTATACTTGTATAGAGACCATGTTTTTCAAGTATCATGTCAATTTTTTTTTTCATGTGAGAACATTTACAGAATATCAAATTTCGCAAATATAAAGGTATGTTCTCATGAGACCATAAGGGCACAAGATTTCCAACACTGATCGTGAGTTTAATTAGTCGAAGGTTTAGAGTTACTTGTACACTTATTCCACTGTCAGCCCGGGTTACTCAGATTGTACGGATTGATTTACTACATGTAACAATAAAGCACAAACAAGTTAATCGTAATTAATTACAGATATTTTACGCTGCAGAATACAAGAAAAATTTGTGTAAGACATAAACCAAAAAAACTCAACATGAGTGATACAATGCAACTATAATAAAAGATTCGTACGTATGTCTGAGATATAGTAAATACGTACTTAATCAGGAAGTTTATTCTGAAAAATGTCCTTTCGAATTATTGAATCATTTAATACTGTAGATTATTTCCTTATTATCTTGTCAACACTCTTTTTATACATTTTTCGTTTTTACTATAATTATTTCACTCGTCCTAATCCACTTCCTGGTCCTCTACCTTTACCATTTGAACTAGAGGTATTATTTGGTTTTTGTATTATGTTGAGCAATGGTTAACTTTTTTTTTGACTACAGTATATTAACATACTATTTATAGAGTCGTTTTTTTTTGATGGTAACTTCAAACGTCTTGCTGCAGGCTTATATCAAAAATATGGAGATATCTGTGAAATCAGATTAGGTGGTTTCAGAAGAATAATTATCTCTAAACCAGATTATTTTGAAAATTTATTATCTCCTTCAAAGAATTTAGCATTATTTACAAAATATGAATATTCACAGGCTGTAGATATGCTTGGAAATTTTGGACGAGGATTGTTTCTGAATAATAATTATGAGACCTGGAAGATTAATAAATATTTTCTTTCACAATCAATTTCAACTCCTGGGTTCAATGAAGAGGCTATTAAACATACCAATGGATTATTTGAAGAGATGGATGGATACTGGCATTTACTTAAAAAATATCAATCAAGTAATGGTGATTGGTTTGAAATGGACTTTCTCACATGGATAAATAGGTTTATGACTGATGATATTTCAATCATAATAACCGGTGAGCGAGGCTGCTCAATGGCATCATATTATAACACATTCAACTCCGATAAGTCTAAACTTGAAAATTCTCTTCGTGATGATTCTAAATTATACAATTCTGATAGATTTGCTCGATCGCTCATAGTTTATATGAGAGGAGCAATATTATTTCAATTAATTCATCCATTCTTGAGAAATTATGTGCCATATTTTAAGAATAAAATAAATGATGTTCTAGAAAGTAGAGATTATATATTAAAGACACTTAACAATATGATTGAAAAGAGAAATTCTGACTTTACAAATATTCCACAAAAATTAAAGTCGAAACATGATTTGTTAACTATTCTCATTACCGCAAATCATGATGCAAAGAATAAAATGACAGAATCTTTAACTGATGAAGATATTAGAGCACTTTTATGTGACATTTTTCTTGCTGGATCTGATACAGTATGTTTAATTATTTAATCAATTCTATTATATTTATTTCTGATGTATTGTTCACGCATTTTCATTTTTTCTACAGTCATCAAGCACTTTATGTTACATAATTTACTACATTTGTCATAATCCACATGTAAAACAAAAGATGGTTGATGAAATTGATTCGGTTTTTCTTAATAATTCTTCTGGTACATTACGCGTAACCGCTGATCATCTTACAAAACTCAAGTATTGTGAAGCAATAATTAAAGAAGCTTCTCGTATGATGCCAGTGCAGCCAGTAGGAAAAAGATTTGCAACTGCAGAATGTGAAGTTGTTGGGTACACATGGCCAGCCAAAACTATATTTCACTTAAATTACGCCAGTATTCATATGAATGAGAAGTATTGGACCAATCCTGCTGTCTTTGATCCGGACAGGTTTTATTTGCAAAACTATTTGAGTGAATTTAATGATGATTTAAACAATTTTGACAAAGAGGATAAAAAGTTTATTTATGACAAGGATAAATATTCGTTAGTTATTTTTGGTGGTGGTATAAGAATGTGTCCTGGAAGAAAGTTAGCAATGATTAATATGCTAACTTTTATGGCATTGATTTTCAAGAAATATGATGTAGAATTAATGGATATGGATGCTCCACTGAAAGCGCATACTGGATTCCTTACTAATTGCCTAGAGTTAAAAATCAAAATTAAACTTAGGAATCCATATTTGTAATTTATACTTTATTATTTATTTTTTTAATAGTATGATGTTTATAATTTGTGATGATTGTAGTACATTGTAGTTTAAATATAAATTTAATCAAAGCATTTATTTATGCATTATTTTTAGGGGAATTTACATATAAGGGCCCGAAAAATGAAAATAATTACAAATAAGGGCCCAAATTGAAAACAATTACATATAAGGGCCCAAATTTTGAAAAATATTACGAAGGGTCAGATTGCAAATTTTTGCATATAAAATTATATAAATGTAATTGTCATTTGACATTTAAACGTATTACTTTT